TTAAGAAGCGTTATATAAAACAACTCACAGACTGAGATAAGATACGATCCATGACCATCTGAGAAGTTTCGGAGCAAGCGAAGGAGAAAGTGTTTCCGGAGACGAAACTGTTCTCCTCCGTTTCAGTCTCGCCGGCGGTGATGGGTTGTTCTTCTTCGAGAATGACGGTGGTGCTTTCGATTGTATTCTTAGAGAGGATTTGCTGAGAAGGAGTGAGAGCTTTGGAGACTTCGTGAGCTGAAACACTCCAAGAGCGAGAGAGAAACTCCATCGGCTCTAATGGTGTCTCCGGTGGCCGGAAAATTGGGTCGGAACGCCATGGTGGAAGCACTGGTTTTTCCATTTTTACACAGAGAGAGAGAATCTTGAAAGATGGATGTGAATGGCTGCGATTTATAGAGTTGTCTGATATGTGACAACGAGAGAGAGAGAGAGAGTAATGTATCAAAGACAGTGCTTTTTTTCCTCTTCTCTGCTTCAATGCTTTGCTTTATTACTTTCTCTGTTAAAAAGAAATTTTTGATATTTAAAGGTAATAAATAAGCTAGGGTTGAACAGTTAATTAAATATTTTTAGTTGTTAATTTTCTTGTAAATTAATTTAATTTACTTAGCTGTAAATTTTCTTTTACTTTAATACACCCTTATCTCAAATTTTAGATAATGTTTTACCTGAAAGCACGAATATATTAAAAAAGTTATATAAAAAACTTTCACTTTTGATAATTTAATCAATAATAATCAAAACTCTTAAAATAAATTTAACTTTGCAAAGAAACCTTAAGAAAGACAAATAAAAAATCCAAAAACGTCATATAAAAAACACAGAGGGAATATGTTTAACTTTTATGTATAAGTTATTTGTGCGCATGACTTGAAAGTTGAAACCTAGTTTAAGAAAATTGTTTTCGTGTCATCAAAATTACAAAGTGAAAACCAATTATATAACATAGTCCTACTACAGTAATTAATTACGGTAATTCTGATACTTTACATTTTACACAAACAATTTTATAAACAAAATGAATAGAAATAAGAATTTAAGGAGACTCTGACTTCTATCTTAAAAGAGTGATAAATGGAAAGAAGACATAAATGATAAGGGACCTCATGAGTGACCTGCAAAATGTGGCGACTCATCCATCATTATTGAAATATTGGCAGGAGAAAGGTGTGCCCAACTTGCATCATTTCCATTGATCCTTGTTAACATTAAAATAAGTTGGGATATTTGTTTGTTTAAGACTTACGACCATGATTTGGTTCTACGCTTTATATGTGGTTTTATTTGATAAGCAAGTTCAGGCGTTTATAATTTAATAAGGTAAATTATGTTTTAATTTGATTAATTTTTATCTTTCTTTGTCAACATAAAATCAAATTTATGGATCATAATCTAGTGGACGACGGGAATATGCAAATTAATTGACGTTATAGTTTTTTTTTTTTTTTTTGATAAAGGATTGACGTTATAGTTTGATAAACGATTAATACAATAAAAAGAAATGAGGCGTTACAGTCTGATAAATAAATAATATAATAAAGAAAAATAATATAAAAATAAAAATAAATGAATTGGTGTTATAGTTTGACAAAAAAATGATTAAAATAAAAAGAAATAAGACGTTACTATGTGATAAACAAGGAATACAATAAGAGAAAGTATAAATAAAAAATTGTGCCTGTGAAAAAAATTGATACTGTTAAACCTTCTAACTTCTTTTTTTTTTATTTTTGGTAAAATAAGCCTTCTAACTTTTCTAGAAGATTCAATTCAAATCGGTTTCTTTGACAACAAAACAATGGTGCGAGTTAAAGCCAAATTTTAGTTGCTGCTACTTGTCCCAAAGCCACAAACATTTTGTTTTTTAAAAGTTAGGATATTGAGATTATCATCGCTTGAAAAAGGAACCCCAGAGTAGTAGTGCATTCCACAACATATGGGGAAAGAAGATCTTTCACATATTTTAGAAATAACAGAAACTTGTCACATATATAACATAATTTGAACTTAAAGATGATGCATCCCTTGGACAATGTCACCGTTCCCTCTTCTTTGATAGACCCTTGAAAACTCATAGCAAGACATCATAATGTTTTTGTTTATTTACAATTGTTGAAGTTTTTCTAGAGATATATAATACATACTTGAGATTAAGCATGCATAAGCTATAACAAATAACAACTCATTAACCTGAATTACTAACAAATTGGTTTTTGTGGTGCAGAAAATAACATGATCCAATCTCACATGGCTTGCATCAACGGCATGGACGGACCCACAGTTCTGTTTCTGAACCTGATGGTTGGTCTGGACTGGACCGGACCGAAGAGCTAGCTACAGAAAAAGGTACGAGATGACACGAGGTCGCAGAGAGTGGAGGTGTAGGGTAGTGGACAAAAGGGATAACCTCAGCAGAATTTGTCTCATTTGGTTAAAGAAAGAGTAGAATTATTTTCTTTTCTTTTTTTTTTTTGATAAAGAGAGTAGAATTCTCAATGTTCTCTCACCCTTTCGTATTAATTTCACGTTTTATATCAACTTTAGAAACTATACTAGATTTTGTTACGAATTACATTGTGATTATATTAACATAACGATATGCTCTTTTCAAAGGAAACTTACAATTAATTTTATTTTTCTGTTGAGATATTCGTGAATTGTAATTTTTTCGTAGAAGCCGTGACAACTACTAGAAGTAAGCCGGGTACTATTCACGTCATTATTTAGTTTGTGTAACGTAGCGAATTGTGATCACGTTTATAAGCGAATTGTGATCACGTTTATATGGCACTCAGGCCTCAAAGATATATGACACAGTCCTGGCCCAACATAAATGTTTCATATGGGTTTTATTACATTAAAAGATATATGGCACTCAGGCCTGAAACATTCAATGTAATAAAAACCCCATAAGGAAAAAACGTTTGTGAGCAGTATCTATTTTGTTGTTTCATTTATGTATTAGTCACCGTATTTTTTTGGATCATTTTGCTGGAGCAAAACCATGAAAAGTCTTTGTTATTTCATTTCTAAAATAGTGATGTTCATGTTCGTTTCAAGGTCGCTAATTACATCAATCAACGTGGCGTTTCGTTTTACAGTCAGTTGATGATCAAATCTTGTTTGTTTTAGAGTTACTAGTTTGGCAACATATCTCTGTGACTAGTTTCGGCGATTAATTTGGTGAGGTAAATTAAGTTTGGCATTTTTTACAGTTAAAAATATATAGTTGACAGCAACTACGATACAAACACAATTTAATCGTTGTAATCTGTTATGCTATAAACAAGTTAATTGTTATGCTATAAAACATGTTAGCGCATGATTTTTTTTTTTTTTTTTATAATCCAGGTATCCGAGCCGAAGCCCGACTAGCACCAAGGTTTGAGGCCGGTTCCCTTTTCGGACCGTCCGAGCCCAACGCTTAGTGTGTTTCCTGGAGGACCGAGGGGGCCAGATGAAAACCTCGGTAACCAACGGGAATCGAACTACGGGCACTATATTGGGATTACCCCTCAAGTACCACTAGCCCAACCCACGTTGGTTAACGCATGATTCGTTTTACATAGGTTACTGAAACAATTATTTTTAAAATGATCTATTATGCATATTTCGTGGACTGACCAAGACACAAAGAAGAATTCTATCGCAGAAAACGTTACAACTTTTTCTTAGGATTAGGTTAGTACCACTTAAATTAATAAAGTGTACAAAAGTTATAAGTTAAGTAACTCACTTTTTTTCCACAACCAAGTGGAGATTATACATATCAATATACATTGCATTATGGATGAATGTGATGTCAGTATGAATCTTTGGTAGTTAATCGCAGATTGTGATATACGTTTGACCTAGCTTAGCCATCGAACTTGATTTTGAAGAAATCTTAAGATCAACGAAAAAAAAAATCTCAAGTGGCTTAGTAACTAAAATATAAATAATAGTTGCGTATACGTGTACATACGTATAAACATACGTATATACGGAAGTCAAAAGCTTCGATATTAACTACACGCCAACCCTCAAAATAATTTCAGTACATGCAAGCTAAAATTATTACAATCCTCAGGTGATTATTAATCAGGTGATTGAGCTTAAAATTAAATTGTTAAGAACTTTACTTGAATGATATTGGGTTATTAACATAGATCACAAATAGTAAACAAAAACAAACACTAGTCTTAAAGACCAACAAGTTGTCTAAATTAAAGCAAAGATCAAGGGGGACTGGGGGAGATTTTGTATTCTGTCTCAATCCACAGTTTTCAACATTTGGTTTGTGTTCAAATATGTTTTCATGCTTTTTAGGAAAATTGATATTATAATTAGACAATAATGGTCTAAAAGTTTACTAAAACCGTGTTTCTGGTGGTAATTAATTAACAAGTAACAACCATCCGATGATTTATAAATGCCCCCTATGAAACTATGAATTTATATATTACTACATGGTTATGTGCTGGATCATGTTAACGGAGTCAAAACTTGTGTCGAAGAAACGAGGTCATTGTCTACGACATACTTATTAAATAAATAACTAAAAGACTATTTGTTAATTTTAGAAGTCATATTCGTGTACTTTTTCAACTGTGCTACTAAGAGCATGTTTATTGGTGAGTTTGGGTGGGTTTTACCTCATTAAAAAAATGAAAAAAATAAATAAATTTGGACAGAAAATGGGTTGGATCGTATCAGTCTATTGAGTTTTCTGGATCGGTTCAGTTTCACAGATGTCACCTTCTGAGTGGAGGAAACAAAATTAATCGGGAAGGATGACTAGCTCTGATCAATCTCCGTCGCACAACGTCTTCGTCTACGGCAGTTTCCAAGAACCAGCCGTCGTAAGTTTGATTCTTGAATGTTCTCCGGTCATCGTCTCCGCTCAACTCCACGGCTAGTTAGTCGTCTCTCTTCACTTCTCCGATTTTATCTTTCTTCTGCTTAGATTTTTTCAAGATTGATAAAATCTGATTTCTGGGTTTTTTGCAGTCACTTGTTAGACTCAAAGGACGTTTGCATCCATGTATTTCTCCTTCTGAGAATGGAGTAATCAACGGCAAGGTTTTGATTCCATCTCCTTCTTTTACAAGAAAAATTAGGGGTTTGAATAAAAAAATTGGGGTTTTCTTGTTTTAGTCATTTTAATTTCTGAAGCTGTAAACATTGTTTCTTGATTTGGTTGATTCAACATGTGGATCACAAAACCTGAAGTTAAGGGGTTGATGTTTTGGTGTAGATACTAACTGGATTAACAGATGCTCAGTTAGAGAATTTAGATATGATTGAACCGTTGTTCTGAGTTAACTTGGAATTTTATGTATCTGAGTTCTTGCTCTGCTTCACAATGTCGATTCAATTGAAGTTTATTTGATTGGAATTGCACTTGGTTGATTTGGAATTGCACTTGGTTGATTTGGGCCGTTGTCTTCTTACTCATATTCCTCTTGTTCTTTTTAGTTTTTACTTCATGATCACGATTCAGTGTTTAAGACTTGGTTTTGCTTCTTAATCATATTCTTCCTCTTCTATTAGCTTTCACTATATGTTCACGATTTAGTGTTAAAAGACTTGATTTTGCTTCTCTTAACACGCTAGATCAAAGATGGGATTCCATGCTTGGTTCCAAAGGATGGAAAAATACTTGAGGAGGAAAGTGGGACATCAAAAGCTTAATGACTTTTGCTTTTACACCAAAAATATAAAATGATCAGAGTGAAAAGGTAACAACTTGTATCTGCAGCGACTTATCAATGGTTCTTTCTGTCTTCACATTTTAGACTTGTGAGCACTTTTAAGTTTGAAGTTTTAATGGGAACATTGATGTAAGAAATTGAAAGTCAATAGAAGTGTAGTTGCAGTTGAATGTAACTACGTTTTCTTATTATGTTTCTTGAAGTCTAGGATTCTTATTGACTAGAATGAAAGTAAAAGTAGTATGATTTAAGTATAGGATTCTTGTTTACAAGTTAAGCAAAGTAGGACAAGCCATTGAGAACAATGATTTTTTTTATTTTAATTTCTAAAAATAAATTATAAATTTTTTTATTTATTTTAGTGATACCCATTAAGTTTCACCATTAAACATACAAATTTAACAAAAATCTTTTTAAGTATCATAGATTAAACAACTAATTAAATTAATACTAAAAAAATTCTAATGATACTCAATGGGGTTTATTGATAAACGTGCTCTAACACATGTAGCTCGAGAGTTCATATCCCAATATTGTCATTAATGATTTATTCAGGAGTTACAATGCTTTTTGGCTTACATAATTTTTTCAAAAGCAACTTTTTTGGCTTGAAATATTTTTGTTGAGATTTTAGTTTGGATATGTTATTAGAAGTGTTTATATTTTAGCCAAAGTGGATACACAGAAATTAGAAAACTGTAGATGCATAATTATTATTATGGTACAAAGAACATTCTTTGCTAATTCTGACCTTCTCTACCAAACCAACGAAAGTCAAATCAATGCTCCCCTGTCACCCAATATATCAAAAACTTATCAATCATATCACATTTGAATTAATCATCTTTATAAAATATTAATAAACATGAACACACTATAAACTTTTTTTTTTTTTTTTTTTTTTTGTGCACCGAACACACTATAAACAAAGACTGACTCTTTAATGGTAACCATTCACATCTACAATTATTTTCCAACATCAAAATATAACTTTTCAAAGGAAGTGGTTACACCCATTGTCTATACATATGCAACATAATACTCCCATTTCCAAAACACAAAATTCTCTCATCAGTCATCACTCATGAGAGAAGAAACCTTCTTTTTCCAATGGCGGTTCATGGCCTTTGGTCTCATCTTCCTCTTCCTTCTTCCTCAAGCTTTCACCTATGATACTCCTCCCATAAACCCGTGCTATGCACATGCTCCTTTTCTTCCTCCTATCGCAAACCCTAGGCTCTTAAAAGCTTATGCAGCTCTTCAAGCTTGGAAGTTCACCATAACTTCTGACCCAAACGGCTTCACTTCTAACTGGTGTGGTCCTCATGTTTGTAACTACACAGGCGTGTATTGTGCACCGGCTTTAGATAACCCTTATGTCTTAACCGTCGCTGGTATAGACTTAAACCATGCCAATATCGCCGGGTATCTCCCTATAGAGCTCGGTCTCTTAACCGATCTTGCCTTGTTCCATATCAACTCCAACCGTTTTCAAGGTCAACTTCCCAAAACTCTAAAATGTCTCGAGCTTCTCCATGAGCTTGACGTCAGCAACAATAAACTCTCCGGCGAGTTTCCTTCAGTAATCTTCTCTTTGCCTTCCTTGAAGTTTCTCGACATTAGGTTCAATGAGTTCCAAGGAGATGTTCCTGACCAACTCTTTGACCTAAACCTTGACGCTCTCTTCATTAACGACAACAAGTTCCAGTTTAGGTTACCGAAAAACATTGGAAACTCTCCGGTTTCGGTTCTTGTCTTGGCCAACATCGATCTCCAAGGATCTTGTGTACCTCCGAGTTTCTACAAAATGGGGAAAACATTGCACGAACTCATTATCTCCAACTCACAGATAACCGGTTGTTTAAACCGGGAAATCGGTATATTAAACCAGTTGACGGTTTTTGACGTGAGTTACAACAACTTGGTGGGTTCGTTACCGGAGACTATAGGTGATATGAAGAGTTTGGAGCAGTTAAACATCGCGCATAACAAATTTTCCGGCTACATTCCGGAGAGTATCTGCCGATTACCAAGCCTCGAGAACTTCACTTACTCGTATAACTTCTTCTCCGGTGAGCCACCGGCTTGTCTGAGGCTTCAAGAGTTTGATGATCGTAGAAATTGTTTACCTTCAAGGCCAATGCAACGGTCTCCCGCTGAATGTTAATCCTTTTCTTCTTATCCTATTGATTGTGCATCCTTCG